ACCAGATGCTACACCTAGTACATCAAACGCAATAAAGCTGGTGAAACACAGATATAACGATTTAACCTACCCTCGCAAAAAACTCCCACGGATGCTTGATCCGTACATCTTGTACAGAATGAGTGCCCTACGTTGTGACAGTGCAGGTGATCGTTTGCGCACCCGTTGATGGGAAAGCACGCACCGTTCGAGACGTGACCATCGAAGTGGAACCCTTCTCCGTCACTTACAAACTGGTCAGCCATGGCGTAAACATTTACAGCGCTTGCCAGAAGAGTGACAACTGTACACTGAAGCTTCATCTTGGGCTAATGTTTTCAAAAACGCTTAGCTACTTCCAAGGTTTGTGCCTGCTGAAGTTAACTGTATGCAGCCTATATATAGATTGATGTATATGTGACGGTATCGCGCCGGCGGCACCATCTCGCTCTCTGTCCCCACATAAAAGCTGCTGAAATTCTGCAGTGGAATCGAATTGAAGCGATGGAAAATGATATTTGTTCTTTTTTATTTATTTTTGTGTTTTTACAAATATTCCAAATTTGTACCAATTATATGTGGTTATTTATTCTTATTTTGACCTATAAATCAAGCATACCATTGTATTCCACTAAATTTTTTAAAATACATATCTTTTTTTTTAAAATACACATAATGTAGAGTCAGCAGTATCAATTTTTCTCATAAAATACCAATGTCTTGATCTTGAATTTTTATTTGGTCAAGTTCTATTTATGTTTGGTTTCATAGCCTTCTTGTATAATTCAGAAGGCTATGTTAGTTTTTGTTTTGAAAAATTAGTTGAATTTCCTGTGACTGTATTTTCTTTTGTTTTTTTTGTTTTTATGGTTTTTTACTCTCGCGAAAACAACAAAAGAAATTTTATATTTTTACAACAATCTCTATTTCTACTATGTTTGTTTTGAAGAGAAAAAATGGTACTTGTGTGAGTGTCACACAGGACAGGACTCTGGAGTCTGGACTCTGACACCACAGATCAGATGGCAGAGAGTCGACACGGACTCGTCACAGAGACACAGACGCACGTCACAGCTAGAGTGGAG